TGTTGCCCAGCGACAGCCCCAAAACCTGAAAGATCTGGAGAGAAGACCTGTATGGAGGAATGGGCCAAAATCCCTGTTGCAGTGTGTGCAAACCTGGTCAAGAACTAAAGGAAACATCTGACCTCTGTAATTGTAAACAAAGGTTTCAGTACCGAATATTAAGTTCTATTTTTATATTGTTTCAAATACTTATTTCATGCAATAAAATGGAAATAAATTATTTAAAAATCTAACTGTGATTTTCTTGAATTTTTTTGTGGATTCTGTCTCACACAGTTGAGGTGTACCTACGATGAAAATTACAGATCTGTCCAGTCTTTGTAAGTGAGAAAACTTGAAAAATTGGTGGTGTATCAAATACTTATTTGCCCCATTGTACATAAAATATTAAAATTAGAATTAAAATGATTAAAATTGCATTGCGAATTGAATTTATACACTTGTGAAAATTTCACCAAAACCTGAAACAATTAGAGCTTTATAAACACAGATATTGAGGCAGAATTGTTGCACTGAAGTACATACAGTTGTACTGGTGTCCCTAATAAAGTGGCCAGTGAGTGTATATAATTGGATTGTAAGTATTGATGCGGCGTTATGTTCATCAGAGTCAAGCATATAAATAAGAAATAACTTGAATTATATCATAACTGTCTGATAAGAAAAAAGTTTTCATGGTGAAATATTTAGTTGTACTGGGCCCTACTCTGAGGGGGATAAAGGACCCTGGTGATGCTGCATTTAAAAGCTTTGTACCTGAAACCAGCCAAGCTTCTTGGATAGATGAGGTACATTTAAAGTTTCCTGTGTGCTGTGGTTACAGGATTTAAATGTGATGTGGGTTGGGAGCTTGACCAGAGTTTAATACCATCAACCGCAGAACACAGAAAACACTGAGCATGAAACTTGTCATTAGTGAAGGACAGGCTGGGATGTGAATATAGATTATTGATCAGAGTTAAAATGGCTGCCAGGCTTATCATAGGAGATAAAAAGCAGCTGCTGAGTCTGGCTGTGTGGTGCAGGTGTTTTCTTTGCCCTTGGGCATCTGTTAATATTATACACACTATAAGGTAATGAATAGATGCATGGACAAATGGATGTATTTACATGTGTGCAGCCCCTGATGAGGGAGGTGATGGAGAACAAGGTGGAGATCACCAAACAGGAGGCTCGGGACCTGGTGGAGCGCTGCCTCAAAGTGCTGTACTACAGAGACGCTCGCTCCTACAACAGGGTGAGTTCACGTCTCCTCTCTGTCCTGGGAGCGTTGCTGATCCCAGGTCTGCTGTGAGAAAAAGCTGTTTGAGTAACAAATAGTGTCTTTGCTGACCTCCACTGGTTTAAAGGAAAACTGCTGATCTTTCAAGAGGTTTTATGATAACAGAATTGGTGGGGGAGTGCACAGGAAGCATGGAGGGATGCAAGATGACCTTCAGTTAGATGTACTAACAAGTGTTTATTTAGTAAAACCTCCCTGAAAACCAGCCAGGTTTTCCTTTAACTTCTCACCTTGTTGCACTGAAATTCAGGTGTATGTGTTCAGCCACCAGCTATTATGTGTGTCCCACCTTAAGAATTGAGCAAACCAGTTGCATGGATGATAAATTACCTTGAATCGTGTCTTAGTTCAGTTCACAATACTAAGATTTTCTTAAAGACTAAGAAAAGTAGAAAAATGATGTGGGTCCTGGATTAGCACCAGTCAATACATTGACATAAAAGTAACTACACAAAGTCACTTATACTGTCTGAGGGTGTTAACATCTGACATTTAATTTGCTTATGTGTGTGTGTGTGTGTGTTTTTTTTTTTTTTTCTTTCTCAAACTTCAGCATGAGATCGCGATAGTAACAGAGGAGGGTGTGGAGATTATCGGTCCTCTGTCCTCTGAAACCAACTGGGACATCGCTCACATGGTCAGGTAGGATCAAAGGTCAAGGAGCAACAAAACATGTTATGAACTTCCACAGCGAACAGGTCAGAGGACAGTTGTTGTATTTTCTGCAGTGGTGCAAAGTGATCCTGATGCAAACCAGAGTGTAAAACTGTACAGATAAACTGTAGGCTGAGAGAAGAGCTGCTGCCTTCACCGGTGTACGAATATTTTCAGCAGATTTGTTTCAGACAGGATGGGTGTTGTGCCCTCTTTAATATATAGATGTAGTCAACTTGCAAATTTAGCTTATTGAGTAATTGATCATTCATTAGTTTTATATAACCAAACTTTTAAAAAGTATATCTGGTATTAGTTTGTCCACTGTAACAGTTTCTATTTTCATAGATGAAATCTCTGTGGTTTTCAGGCTGTTGGACAGACTGTAAACATTCAGTAAAGGCATCAGTTTTGGCACTTTAACATATTAGTGACTGAATGAATGGCATAACAGAAAAATTTTAAAATGAAATTGTCACCATATTTATGTTTACTGTTGATACAAACCATGTCAGCATGTTTTGCAGTGAAGTAGTTCAGGCTTGAAAACACATAAACCTACATTTCAAGTCTTTATGATAAATTTTCAGACTGTTTATTCCTGTTTCTCTGCAGTGGGTTTGAATGAAAACGAGCTGCAATCGATGAAGCCTCGTTGTTTTTCTGCTGCATCTAAAACAACGGCCCACGTGCAGATCGTCTATCCCAGTGCAGTTTTTTTTCCTCATGTACTGTCACTTTTGTATAATGGAAAATAAATGTGATAAGAGTATTGTTTTTGTGGTTTTATTCGTGTGTTTTGTATTAATGAATATTATCACCATTTGGAAACTGAACTGGAAATCATTTAATTCAAGTTTATGACCAATAAACAAGTTCTTTTGGGACCCAAATTATGGAGCTACCAAAACAATGTTTGTTTAAGTTTTATTGGTTTTAATATTGCACAATCTAGATATAGTGGCTATTTGGTCAAATCTGTCCACAAAGTAATAGCCATCAAGAAAATCCACTATCAGTATCTTCTTGACAATATGGGACCCATCTATTGTATGGAGTTAATGTTTTTAAGAGTATGTAGGTTTCAAAGACTTTACACTGCATTTGTCTAAACTGCATCATATTCACCATACCTACATCTTTATTAAATGTTTATTTGAAGTACTTTAGCTTTCTCTCTAAAAGGCGGCTGTTGCTATGCGGATTTCGTGAAATAAAATCATCAATTTTGTAACTGGGCAGACCAGAAAAACGCGTCCAATCAAAATAATCCCCGGGGGAAAAATAATTCTGACCTACGAATTTGATTCGACCAGTTTTATATATCCGGGTAGATTCGTGACAGCGCACCAATCGGAATAGACGTCGGCTTTGTAGTCAGGCAGACATAATAAAGTCGTCCAATCACAAAAAAAATCAGAAAGGGGATTTTTGCTGTATCTTGGCTCAGGTACTTTATTTTTCTTTTTTAAAATAATCACTCAAGTTGGACTTAACGAATAGAACATACATTTATAACAGAATTAATTATCTGTTATGAGGAAATATTTGTAAATTTAAAATATCGTCCAAAACATGCTAAAATTGTGTTTTAGTGCTTGGAAGCTAATGCTATCTGATAGCAACTAGCTAGTTAGCTACCATCTTACTGTTAGCAGCGAGCTTCTAGCTAACCATGGAGGACGCGTCAGATGTCAGCCTTAGCCAAAATAATAACTCTTCTTTCGTGAGAAGCGGTATTCAGGTTCTCAAACCTATGTCTGACCAATCTGTAATACATCCAGCTATCACGCTGGAGCGTCGCTGTCTCGGTCAGCTAATGCAGAGGGCGTGTGTCGTCCGCTAGCCTGTTAGCCCGGCTCTAACATGTTGACTCAATGTGTGCTGTAGTAGTAAAGACAGGCACATGACCACCGGCGCTACGCCCGCTGGAAACACGGCATTCAGTCATGACAGGGGGAGCACGGCTGACACATTTCAGCTGCTTGCACGGTTGCTCCTGCAGCAAATGTTTGTTGGTGTGTGGAGTGAATATGGCCGGTGCTGTGTTTTGCTCCACAGAAACATGCCTCCCGCTCCGGTGGTGATAGTAACGTTTAACGGCAATGTGACAGCTGGAATGTGTTAGTGACCCGGCGTCCAGCGGGCCTTGTACCGGCTGTAGGCACGAAGCGGGCTGAAATCTGAGCTGAATAATGTGGTGTGGTGTGATGTTAAAATTCAGTGGGTCTGCAGGTGCTGCAGTGACCCGGCTGTCTGCGCTCGGCCACCTGACGGCGGGGAGACTCTGCGGGTGTAAAAGTCTGATAAAGCACCGAATTCAGTTCCCCCAAAATAAAGGCCCTAAAAGGTTTTAGAAAGGTTTAAATTTCACTTGCAGTGATGTTGACGATTTTATTGTCTGCCATAAAGACGAAGTTAAGTTTGTTAAAATTTTCAGGAATCTATTAGGAAACTCATCAACCCATGATGTCACATGCAGCAAAACCTGAATCAACAAACTAACTAGTTATTCTTTAACTGGTTGATCCAGCCACAGATGTTTTGCAATTTGTGTCCAGGCATGGATGGGTTGTAAGACAGTGCACCCCCTCCTACATAGGACCCCAGTCACCTTGTTTATAGTGTGTTTTGCATCTTTCCTTTGGCTCTTTGTTGTTTTATGTCTTTTTGGGAGACTTCTGCCCATTTTGTCGTCTTTGTTGAAACTATATGATTCTTCCCCCGAGTGAAATATTTTGAAGGCTGCATCATTTCTCCCATACGAGAACTTTATTTCCTGAGCTTTCAGCCATGTCTCAGTGAAGGTGAGTCATCACATGAAGTCAGTGTCCTTACTAAGTATTTTTTTGTGTCTTCTCAGATGGTGGAACACAGCACTGGTTAGTTGGTCCAGATGTTGGAGGACCAGCGGCACCGGCAGGGGGAGGGCAGCCTGGAGGCGGGGGAGGGTGACACTGAGCCCAGCATGCTGCTGCAGAAACTCAAGAGCAACATATCGTAAGTTGACTGCTGCGACGCAGTCCAGGTTTCTGCAGGTCTTGAAAAGTCTTTAAAACACTGCTTTGAGGTGGAGTTCCTGCTTTCAGCAGATGTTTGATGCAGACAGTTGTTGATGTTTGCAGTTTCCTTCACACACTGATCATGTTTGAATGAGCAGGTTTCTCATTGCTGTGGTCTCTGTGTTGCAGTAAGAGTGTTCAGACCAAAGTGGATCAGATCCTGGTAAGAACCACAAGCAGAGTTCTGATGTGCAGTTAAATGACACCTGTGGTATCTGCTGGGTCAAAGATTTTTGACATGTGCACCTCAGTGCTCATTTGTTCTGCTCTGCTTTTAACAGCAAGACGTTCAGCGCTTCTCCGACAATGACAAGCTGTACCTGTACCTCCAGCTGCCCTCTGGACCCAGTTCTGGAGACAAGAGGTCGGGCCTGTTGTTGTTAAAGAGTTACATGTTGTTCATTATATGCATTGTGACAGGAATAGTGTGTGTGTGTTTGTGTAGCGGCGGTGACTCCTGCTCATTCAACACAGCCGACCAGCTTCACACCTGTAACTGGATCCGCAGTCACCTGGAGGAGCATTCAGACACCTGCCTGCCTAAACAGGATGTCTACGAGACATACAAGTCAGAAAACACTCACAGAACTTCTTGACATTGTTGTTTGGCTCATGTGATCCCTGACTGTCCTTGTTGTCCTGCAGGCGATACTGTGAGAACTTGCAGCACCGGCCTCTGAGTGCCGCCAACTTCGGGAAGATCATCAGAGACATTTTCCCCAACATCAAGGCCCGGCGGCTCGGCGGCAGAGGACAGTCTAAATATCCTTTCCCCTACCAATCTCTGAAACTTAGTGAATCTATATTTACATGTTGCTGTGCTGACATGCACTGGTGCTGACGTACTGTGCGGGTCTGTCAGGGTCCGGGTTGAATTCCCTAACCTTCCTGGCTGATACATACTGTTACAGCGGCATCAGGAGGAAGACAGTTCTCAACATGCCTCTGCTGCCCAACCTGGACCTGAAGAATGACCCGGTACATACACACACACACTACTGTGTAGTGGGACTTTCACTGCTACTTGACTAGTATTAGTCTGCATGGTAGGCAGTTGTCGACCGCTCATGGATAATAAGATTTCAGTCGACACATTTACACTACTTAATGTGTATGAAGTTCATACTGTGAGAACCTTTCTCTGGCGACTGACTCCAAACCCTGGTTTCTGTCTTAATCAAAATCAGCTGTGTCTGTCAGGATTATGACAGGGCGCTCTGCAGGTGTTTTAAAAGTTACAAAGTATTACATTTAATTTCCTCAGAAACTCTTAAATGTCACTTTACTAGTGGTGGAAGTAGTACTCAGATCCTTTATTGAAGTAAAAGTAGTAATACCATAGTGCAAAAAAGTTCAGCATTCAAAATGTCACTTAAGTAATACTACAAAAGTATCAGCATCAAAATATCCTCGAAGTAGCCAGTGTACAAGTATTCATTCTGTGGAATGGCACGTTTCCTATGATTGGATCATAGTGACTGATGCATTACTGTGTCTATCACTTTAATGCTGCAGCTGGTAATGGTGAAGCTGATGTTAACTACCTTACAGTGGGCAAATAAGTTGATAGGCCGCCGATTTTTCAAGTTTTCTCACTTACAAAGACTGGACAGATTTGTAATTTTCATCGTAGGTACACCTCAACTGTGAGAGACAGAATCTACAAAAAAATTCAAGAAAATCACGTTGTTAGATTTTTAAATAATTGATTTCCATTTTATTGCATGAAATAAGTATTTGATACAATAGAAAAATAGAACTTAATATTTGGTACCGAAACCTTTGTTTACAATTACAGAGGTCAGACGTTTCCTCTAGTTCTTGACCAGGTTTGCACACACTGCAGCAGGGATTTTGGCCCACTCCTGCATACAGGTCTTCTCCAGATCTTTCAGGTTTGTCGCTGGGCAACATGGAGTTTCAGCTCCCTCCATAGATTTTCTATTGGGTTCAGGTCTGGAGACTGGCTAGGCCACTCCAGGACCTTGAAATGCTTTTTACAGAGCCACTCCTTAGTTGCCCTAGCTATATGTGTTTGGGGTCATTGTCATGCTGGAAGACCCAGCCACGACCCATCTTCAATGCTCTTACTGAGGAAAGGAGGTTGTTGCCCAAAATCTGGCGATACATGGTCCCAAAAGTTCTATTTTGGTCTCATCTGACCACATGACCTTCTCCCATGCCTCCTCTGGATCATCTAGATGGTCTTTGGCAAACTTCAGACAGGCCTGGACATGTGCTGGCTTGAGCAGAGGGACTTTGCGTGCGCTGCAGGATTTTAAGCCATGACGGTGTAGTGTGTTACTAATGGTAACCGTTGAGACTGTGGTCCCAGCTCTCTTCAGATCATTGACCAGGTCCTCCCATGTAGTTCTAGGGTGATCCCTCACCTTTCTCAGGATCACTGACACTCCACGAGGCGAGATCTTGCATGGAGCCCCAGTCCGAGGGAGACTGACGGTCATCTTGAGTTTCTTCCATTTTCTAATAATTGCGCCAACAGTTGTTGCCTTCTCACCAAGCTGTTTGCCTATTGTCCTGTAGCCCATCCCAGCCTTGTGCAGGTCTACAATTTTGTCCCTAGTGTCCTTAGACAGCGCTTTGGTCTTGCCTATGGTGGAGAAGTTGGAGTTTGATAGATTGAGTGTGTGGACAAGTGTCTTTTATACAGGTAACGAGTTCAAACAGGTGCAATTAATACAGATAATGAGTGGAGCAGTGGCTGTTTTTGGCATGGGCGAACCGGGCAGGCGCCCGGGGCAGCATTTTTTCATGACCAGTTGGGGGGTGGCACAAGCACTTGGAAAGGTAACGAGTTCAAACAGGTGCAATTAATACAGGCAATGAGGGGAGGATAGGAGGGCTTCTTAAGAGACAAACTAACAGGTCTGTGAGAGCCAGAGTTCTTGCTGGTTGGTAGGTGATCAAATACTTATTTCATGCAATAAAATGGAAATAAATTATTTAAAAATTTAACAATGTGATTTTCTGGAATTTTTTTTAGATTCTGTCTCTCACAGTTGAGGTGTACTGTACCTACGATGAAAATTACAAATCTGTCCAGTCTTTGTAAGTGGGAAAACTTGGAAAATCAGCAGTGTATCAAATACTTATTTGCCCCACTGTATATACTTATAATGTGAAGTACTTTCCATCCTGCTGGGTAGCTGGTGGATTTCCCACTGGGATCAATAGAGTCTGATGGTTCTACTGGGTTTGGTTTGATTCATCTGATTCTGGAAAGGAAATGAAGTTATTAAATGAAGTTTGTCTTTGACATGGAGTCCAAGTGTGAAAGAGCAAATATATCCTCCTCTTTGTCCTCAGGCAGAGCTGACTGAGCTGGTCCAGACCTACAAACAGGAAGTGACAGAGGCGGCGTGCGAGCTGATCTGTGATTGGGCACAGAAGATCCTGAAGCGTTCGTTTGACACGGTGGTGGAGATCGCTCGCTACTTGATCCAGGAGCACATCGTGAACCCTCGCTGCAGCCAGGCCGAGCTGGTTACCTCTGCCGCGCTCGCAGGTCAAGTGTGTTCACTTACTTTGTTGTAGTTGTTGATTGATTTGATAATCAGTTCATTGTTTTAGCACACATGAAGATTCTGTGGTTTAGTGTAGGATTTCATATTTCCTTTACTGTATCTTAAGCATCAATAAACTGAATATCTTCTATTTATCAGATTCATGTTACTGTTGAGAGCAGGGACTCTCCACTGCAGGAGCCTTATTTTAACCAGAGGGACCACGGGGTGAAATTAGTTTCTACTGTATGTAGTAGAACCAGTCCCTGCACTGGGGAGCAGGCATAGAATTTCTCCACCGTAGTTACCCACTGAAATGTGGTAGGCTGAGTAACGCTCGTCCCAGGTTCTAAGTGTGTTTCCACTACCCGCTGCTCGCTTTGGAGGTGTGTTCCAGGGGCTAAATTTTAACACCCCTCAGGAGGTACTACTAAAATCAAGTTCTGAGGGGGGAGGGGTAGGTGCACGCAGAAATGTCCCCCTGATTGGTTAAATGCCAGCATCTTCACACCTCAGCGAACAGCATAGCAGTGAGAACAAGGTCATATTGGCTGACAGGTTCATCTTTGTGTGTGTCTGCAGGTGGTCCAGCCAAACCCCACAAGGTCATCAAGAAAACTCCAGTCATCTCTAAAGCTGAGAGTGACGGAGCAGCAGATCCGAAGGTGCTGACGTGTTTCTGTACAGTCTCTGGTCACGTGCAGTCTGTCTCTGCTGCTCACCACTTCCTGTCTGTCTGCAGAAGGACCTCGGAGATTCTTCCTCCTCGTCTTTGCTGAAGCCGCTGTCTGGAGACAGAACAGCAGCAGCAGCCAAACCTTCCTCCCTGGATGCCCCTCTTCCTCCCTCCTCTTCTTCCTCTTCCTCTCTACGTCCTGCGGTAGGTCGATCCCTCCACCTGTCTGCCCCTGTGTTCACCTCCAGCACCTCTTTGAGAAAAGTCATACTGTCTCCTCTTTTTCTTCTGGTTGGTGAAATCATCCAGGTGATGTCTTCTGCCAGTCAGAGTTAGGCTGTTTGGTTTTTCCCGGGTTTGTAATAATTTTTTATACTTACAATAAACAAATTAGCAAATAAATACTTGTGATGCTGTGATGCAGATGGAGGCCGTCATGACGCAGTACCCCAGAATCCTCCCTCGGAGCTCCATCCCTGATAAGGCCCAGCTCTCACTCCGCTCCTCTCCGCCCTCGTTGGCTCCCAAAGATACCCCTGGTGTCGGGGTGGCATCTGGACATGGAGGTCCAGCTACCAGCAGGGGTGGAGTGAAAGTCATCGCCATGGCAACGCTGCATCAGCAGCAGGGCGGTCCTGCGGTGATGATCATGCCACAGGGCTGTCTGCCCTACGAGAGGGAGGTTGCCCCGCCTCCACCACCGCAGCAGCACCACGCCCCAGCTGCCCCCACCTCTGTGGTTCAGAAGCCTCGGAGCAACACCAACAAGCGCCCTCTGGAAGTAGTGACATCAGGTGGCGGTGCAGCAGGCGGGTCTGGTGGCTCCACTGCCAACACTCCTCCAGTGAAACGGAAACGTGGACGACCGAGAAAACCTCGGCCAGAAGACAGCCTGGCTGCACCTCCTACTGCTCTTTCTCCTCAGCCTCCACCTCCTGCACCTCCCTCCCAATCTCCCATCATCACCTCCCTGACCGGCGGCGTCATCCAGAAAGCGTCTTCCTCCTCCTCCTCCTCCTCCTCACAGCAGGTGCTGGAGGTGGTGATCCAGGAACCTTCGGGCCCTGAGTAACCTGCCGGTGGCGTCAGACCCAGGTCACCGGCTAGTGGAGCACCGTGGCGTGGTGGTTCAGTGTCAGCCGGGTGGGGTGACCGAGCCGGACCACCACAGCCAGCCGCTGTTACTGCTTCAAAGTCCAGGGAACCCAAGCTGGGACCTAGCGTTGAGACGGACCCCGATGGTGGAGGTGATCCAGAAAGCTCCAAGACCAAGTAATAACAACAGCAGCAGCACTGCTCCTCCACCTGCAGCACAGCTCCATCCTCCTCCTCCTCTTCCCCCGCCCACGCTGCATGAGGAGCAGGGGGAGGTGGAGATAACGCTAACGCCGGTGGAGCTGCATGTCAGCCCGCTACTGCCTCCCTCCATCTCCACCTCTTCTGCTCCCATCTCCTCCACCACAGCAGTGAGTAGTGAGGAGGAGGCGGGAGGAGAGAGCAGCACCTCCTCAAAGCCTGAGAGACACTAGCTCTCATCACTATGCCTCCTCCTGTTTATAAGCCCCCTCCCCACCTCAGCTTTTACCTCACATGCAATGAAGCCCCACCCCCTTTACCTCTCTTCTTCCTCATTGGTGGAAATCCCAGATCGGCAACAGCAGAGAGCCAATCAGTGAGGATAAATGAAGCCAGACTTGACACACTGCCCTTCCATTGGCTCCCATTGCACCTGGACACTGTTAGAAACCTGTGATTCTTTGACTGCATGTCTGTCTGTGCATCACCTGTGGCTGAAACCATAAGAACGGCTCCTCAGGTGGAGGGGCCTGAGGCCATCCTCTTTTCCCTGCTTCCTTCCTTCCTTGCCTATTTGTAACCTCGCTCTCTAAACTTCCCATTTTCTTTGCTGAGCTTTGGTCGTCTGCCGCGTTGCTTCCACTGCCTCTGATCAGTAGAGTTATTAAAAAAAACTTTAAAGAAAAGATTGATATAAACAAAGGAGGACGGAAGAAGTGAGGTGGTGGAGGAGACATGCTTTCAGTACTGAATCAGGCCCCAGATGGCATTCACTCGATAGATACAGTAGGTACTACGGGTCAGAGCCTTGTAAAGGTTCTTTCTGCTAAACCTGAAAAAACAACCTTGTGAACAGAGCTCAGCCTCGACTCACCTTCAGTCCATATCAGGGAAATGTAGAAAACGCCCAGCGCTGACAGATCTTCTCACAGCTGCAAACTTCCTCAAACATCTGGGAGTTTACAGCAAGAAAAGATTCTTTCAGGCCTGTAAAAGGTGAGCTCAATAAAAAGGCTTGTGTAGGTGAGGAAACAGTGTTCAGAGGGAAAAAATGCAGCAGCTGCTGTAGAGGAGACGTGGGTGTGAACTTTGGGCTGAATGTGAGTTGCAGCTGAGCTTTTCTTCACAGAGTTCCTCTGCTTTAAACAGCTTTGGTGATTTGGGTTTTTATCAGTGTTGGTTTCATATTTCTGATCGTGTGTGTGTGTGTGCAAGAAAGAGAAAACGTCACAGCGCTCAGTTACCCGTCACCCAAAACTGTTTCATTATTTATTATTTCAGGTTGTTTTTTTGCAAACACTGGCGCGCCTACAGTGACACTGCATCATTTGGTCTATGGGCTCTACATTTGATTGAGTGTATTAATGAGATTATTTTAAATAAAAAGACAAAAACGCCACGCCGGGCTGCAGGGGTGTGGTGGGTAGCTTTTCATTTTACATCTCTTTACCCCTTTATCCTTTAACACTGCCACCAGTGTCCGCCCCCTGCTGCACTCACCCCAGCAGAGCTCACTGAGACAGAAAAGTGAAGACTCGCTTGTTGAATTGCGACCTTTGTGGTGAACAGAACTAAAAGTTTGTTTTTTCCTGTTGGAGACAAAGGCGTCAGCTCAGGCACAAAGAACAAAGCACAAAGTTCCCTGCCACGTAGGACTAAAGGTGGTTTAAAATGCAGTAAAACCAGTGTATCAATGGCAGATATTATGGTAAAATTATCCTGTGTAGCAGTGAAGTTTACTCTCCATGATTAGCTGGCTTAGACGTCATCGTATGTCGCCGTGTGCACTTTGCACTAACTCTTCTTGATCGCCACTGAAGCACTGTCCTTATCAGCAATGGGGCATGACCGTGTTTGACGTGAGAGAAACACTTGTTTTCTCCTGGTCTCTAACATCAGAAGGAAACCGCTGCTTCCACCTGACAGCGATGCAGCCTGTCCTCCTCATTACGCAGCCATATTTTCAGCAGCGACACTAATGTTCGCTAAGTTTCAGCTCAGTCCCACTTTTTTCCTTTTGATTCCAAACAGATGAGAAAAGTATAACACGTTTCTAATGCAACTGCAAAGGACAGTTAGACACTGAAGGTTGAAAGCAGCGGTTGGAGGATGTCTTGTTTCTTCTCCGGATGGGATCAGTGGGTAGAAGCACTCAGCTGGAGGAGGACTTTGGTCATCTCACATTACTGATGTCTGTTGTCATCTCTGCCAAACTGCCTCTCGCTCCACGTGAGGGCCTCGTCTTCATCGTTGGTGCTATAAAGCGCAGGCCTCTGCATCGCCGTCGGGCCTCGGTCCTCACTGGTTTCTGTCAGTTATCTGTACAAACCCCCTTTTGTCCACACTCGCATATCGAGGTGTGATTCTCGCTGTGAGTGAGTGTGTGTCCTTTTTTCCTTGTCCTGTGACAGCGAGAGCTTCGGGTCAGTTAAAGGGACGCCGAAAAAGCTTGACTGTTAAAAGCATATGTTGCATGATGGGAAAGTGAGTTTTAGCACTTGTCCTCTGCCATAAAGTGAGGGCAGTCCACCTTATACACTTGTGCAACACCATCACCTGTAATTTGTAATTACACTGGGCACTAATGATGTTCATATGTCGTTACTAAAGGGAAGTGCCAGTATGTAGGATGTTTCCATCTAATGGAAAAGCACCTTGTCTAAATTGCAGAGCCTCAGCCCTCAGACAGATCTGAAACAAATAGAACGCACTTTTCAAAACTAGACAAAGTCCTTGTGTTTTATGCATATATTGTTTTATGCAGTGAGAAAATACAAGTATTTATGACGCTTGCACTCAGTCCTTCAGAAAGCAGGTGTACGAGATGTATCTCAGACCCCCTGTGAAAGTGAAATGTTGCTTTTAATGTCTCATTGGGGATCTGCCATCGATGTAAAAATGTTCAGAGTGAAACCTGAGGTGACACAGCAACTGTGTTCCCTCTGCAGGATCTGCAGGGCTAAACTGGGCAGACTGGAAATACAAAGTAAGTTTGGTCATGAAAAGATGTGAAATAGGTAGGATTCAGTGCAAGTTGGAGTGGGGGGAGACTCAGTTTAGACCCATTTCACCCACTAACTTGTCCAGCTGGACATGCATATTGTCTGTGGACTCTGGTTGAAAGTTGTCTGGGAGTTTAGCAGCGCTGTAGAAATCTGCTTCTGAAAGTCAGAAATGGTTCAAGGGAAGTCATAAATGGCCTGAAACCTTGGTTTGGCCCAGTCCAGCTCTGAAGCTGTGAGCTGGGCTATCTGGACACATACAGTGTAATACCTGTATAAATGTTTGGAAGGAGCAGCATTGTGGAAATGATGATCCAGAATAACTGAGAGGACACTGTATCACCAGGTAGAGTGAACATTTGGAAGAAGCCTGGTGGATTCGCAGCGCTCTGAAAGTCGAGATCCAAAAGAACTCTGAGAAAGGTGGAAGTCCGGCTCAAAAAGGACTTTGAGACATGGTTCCAAACAAGCTGGTGAAAGGGGGGAGACTCCAGTTTGGCCCAGTATGGCCTAGCACTGGGAGCCCAGGTGTGAACGTGCAGGTGGTTGTTGGACTCTTTCACTGTGGAGCCCTGTCGCTCACAAAACAAAACCAGAAACGGGTCAGATAGTCAAAGACAAAGGATCGGGATTCGGGTAACAGTGCGTTGACCTTGAAGGACTGGACTCAGTGACACAGTGTCCTCTGATGTCACTTCCTGTTCTGCATCTGTTTGTGATGCCTCATTAACGTCTGTGTATTTTTGTCAAATTGATTTTGTCGTACCTTCATCTGATCTCATTTCACTTTAATTTCACTAAACACTGCTATGATTTATTGGAGTTAAAACAACATGAATGAAATTTTGTTCATTCACTTCCAGTTCAACCAGCATTGACATTTTTTTAACTAAAGAGTTAAACAACAGCTGTTCCCAGCTTACAGACCTCATGCAGGTTAACAGGAAGTATGTGGTGATATCTGTGATGGTCAGCCATCCGGTTCAGACAATCTCTAGAGATACGAAGTCAGACGGGATGTGTTGCAGATTTGTTGCTTTATTCTTCAGCCCATCTCAGAGGCTTCTTCTGTTCCCATTGGTCGAGACCCAGACACTTTAAAGGACAGGTTCACAATTTTTCAGGTCTGCCTTAAAACAGTCGTCAGGTGGCCATTAAAAACAAACTAAAACAGGCTTGTCTTGCTGTATTTGTCGTTCCTTCTGGACTTTAGGAGATGCCTTCCAGAAGAGACAAGATCTACAATACTCGTCCTGTACACAAATGTACTTAAATGTTTAGTTGTCACTAATATTTATTTATTTATTCATTTATCCTTCCAAATCAAGTGGGAATCCTCCAAAGCTAAAGTCTTTTTAGTATAGACATTTCTCCTTGTGCTTCCCTGTGGAGTTGCGGCTGAAGGATTGGAACAGAAAATGGAGATTTTGCACTAAAATGCTGTGACTTTGGAACATGTCAGCCTGATTTAACCTATTTAACCTAACCTGTGTCCTATAGAAGGAAAATTTTGTCGCTTTCATCAAACAACTCATTATGAAGGGACGTTTTAATAGCATCAAGAAAACCCTGTCCCAGTGAGTATTTTAGTAAAAGTAGCAATACCACAGAAATATGTAGAAATACAGTTGAAAGTTCTGTACTCAAAAGTTTACATAAAGGTACAAAAGTAGGGTCTTTAAAATGTACTTAAAGAACCAAAAGTAAAAGTGCTTGTTACTCCCTAAACCTACACAAGGCAGATGAAGCCTGGTGAGTGGACTGAAGGTGAATC